AGGGGCAGAACAGCCAGCAGGACTGCACCTGGGCTGCACTCCACAACCAGAAGGCTGGAGGGTCTGAAAATGGAGGGAATGGCTCTTGGGAGTGTGCTGAGATGGATTCTGATGGATTTGGGATGCCAGGAGGCCTGGGGAACAATAGAGATGTCGACCAGAAGTTGGTGTTGCCCTGTAACTAAATCTTTGCTCGTTGTGCGCACAGACACAGTACTGTCTGTGCGCTCGTAACGCCCATGCGCTGTAACGCGCACTATCGGCCTTATTGAGCACCCCTACACATGAGGTTATTGAGCCATGTACAAAAGCTATATTGACTAGATTTTCTGGTGGAGTGATCTATAGGTGTGTGCAACGGAATTTGCTACCAAAACTTGCGTGGTTGAAGTATTTTGCAGCCACGACTGTTGAGTGTTGGTGGAGGTGCAGAGGACAGGTCATGAGGAGCCACACCACTTTGAGCAGCTGCATCACCACAATTCTGCTTCATTCTGGCTCCTTGTTGCTGTGGGAGCTTCCTCTTGCTTTTTTGAGTAGTGCGTGATGCTTTTTCATGGTTGTTCTCATCCTTCTTGCGTGCTCTCTCTGCTTTGCGTGCATTGATCTAATGGCGCTCTTCTGCCCTCCTCTCCTCTCTCTCCTTCTTCTCTCTTTCCTGCTTCTCCACCTTGTCTGCCTCAATCTTCTGCTTTAACTTGCGTGTAGTTTCACGTAGCTCAGCTACATCTGCTTTTCTAATTTCCTCTGCCTTCTGTTACAATTTGTGCCTTAAGCAAAGCTCATAGACACTAGTTGATTGGTTCCCAGGGATGAGCAGAGGTACAGAAAGCCATAGGGGTTGACAGTCACCTAAGCAAGGCTTGGGTGGTCAGGGGTAGACTATCCAGGCGGGTTGTAATAACCTTTGTAATAGTTGGGTAGTTGTCTAGTCAAAGACCGTGGCGACTGGTTGCAATGAGTAGTACAGAGTATACTGTCTGGCTTGAGAGCAAGTGAGATTCCAATAACAAAGTTGATTGATGAGGTTGACCACAATGCCATAAGGGCAGCATGTCTACTTGCTATATACATGAGCAGAGGATTGCTCAGATTGCTCGGATTGCTCAGTACTGAGTATACTGATTGTACCAAGTATACTGATTGTGTTGAGTATACTGACCATGCTGAGTATACTGACCGTGCCAAGTATACTGACTGTGCCAAGTATACAGATTGTACCAAGTATACTGATTGTACCAAGTATACCAATTGTACCAGGTATACGTGCTGAGTATACCGATCGTACCAAGTATATGTGCCAAGTATACTGTTTGTACCAAGTATACTGCTTGTGCCAAGTGTTGCCAACAAGGCCCACTGCTTGGGTCAATCGATACTACAGTTCCTTGGCTTCTCTCGTATCATTGCATAGTCCTGTTCGTTCAGTGTTGTTGCAGGTTGCCCTTTGATCGTCACACCTTCTCTGCCTCATCTGCTTCATCTAACAGATGCTGAGCTTCAGTCACTTGTGACGGAGACCACCACTGTGTCTCACCATCTCAAGATTGCCATTGAATTAAGGGCAAAGCCCTGCCTCTTTTGTTACCCTTCTTCTGTTGGTTGAGAGCTTCTTGAAGCCTGAGATTTTCCATCTGAAGAAGCTGGTTTTGGATGGAGAGATGGTGAAGGGTTTCCCTCACAATCACGGCATCAGTTGAATGCTTATCCTTCACACAGGCCCGTAGATGCCTGTCAACAGTATGCCAATCCTTCCCATCATATACACTTCAAACAGGCTCAGGTGTTCTAGGCTTATCTTCCATTGTAGCAAACTTGTCAAGTATAACGTTGGGGTTGTAGGGTATCAAGCCAGTATGTTTGAAGGCGCTGAGTATGAGCTTCTTGGTGAATGTTTCTACCCAGGCCTGCCAGAAAAGGCAGAAGAAATCACCTTTCTTCATTGGTACCAAGCCCTGGGCATTGTGAAGGTGTTTTGTGAGGGCTTTGCTGTAGTTTCCTGCTAATGGGCTGAAGCAAACTACATCCAACGTGTCATCCTGACATGGCTTGCAGCCAATAACAATCCACCCAGTCACACCTCATGGAACATCATGGAACCTCATGGAATCCCATGGAACATCATGGAACCTCATGGAACATCATGGAACCTCATGGAACCTCATGGAACATCATGGAACCTCATGGAATCCCATGGAACAACACAGAATCTTCCAATTGTTGACAAATGCTGACAAATGATTACAAATGATTACAAATGCCAATGTATCTAGAACATTCCAGGAGCCAGCAGTCTGTCTATAAAGGCAGCCTGTCCTCCTGCTCAGATAACTCATGCTTGCAATTCAAAACTCAATCCACTCCTTCAATTCACCTCAACAACTCCTTCCTCAACTCACTCCTCACTGATCCTTTGTGGTATTCCCACACTTGATCCCTTCTTTATCACTTATCCTTTTTACCACGTGTGGTATCCCTACACTTGGTCTCCTCTACACCCTTATCTCCAACAAGCCTGAACCTTCCTTCCGCCAATCCTTCCATCTCAGAGAGCAGTTGGTATCCCCACCTGGCCCCCTCTCACACAACGGCTGCAGAGTATGGGTACTGTGTGGAGGGTATACAGCTATCAGGATCTTGTTACAATCGCAGAATTTGACAAATCACATTGTCAGATGGCTCCCATGGCCATCAACTATGAGTAGATGGTACCTTCTTCTGCACTTCTGCTTAGTGAAGCAATTGAAGATCTGCTCAAGCCAGCTAAGTGCTGTGTCATTGTTTGTCCAGCTAGAAGGAGAAACAGCAGTGAATACCAAGTGCTTCTCCTTATCCATATCATCCATCCAGGTCGATTGAATGTTCTGAGTCTCAGCTGCATATATGAGACCTGGAGGCAGCCAGCTCCCATTGCCACAGATGCATGAGAGGAGTGTAATCCACTCATGATTACCATCTTGAGAGGCTTGTCAACTGTGCTTTTGCTTGTACAAGGGCTTGCTAAACACCCTTTTTGACTTGGAGACTTTCCCAATAGCAAAGCCCTTCTCATACATATTGTACGTGTTCTCTGGCTGGATAGAGTATTGCTCCATTTTGCGGTGCATAAGGTCAAAATACTGGTTGTATTTTTCCCAACTATCAGCCTTGTGATGATCAGAGTCCATTGCGGTGGCCCACTGAGAGATGAGGTGGGCTTGGTTATGGTGCAGGAAGTTGGTAACCCAGCTATCTGATGGCTCCTTTCCAGCTATCTCAGAGGCAAAAATTTTGATCATTGTCCTTGTGGGTGGCAAGTGATGCTCAGTAAGCTGTTCTATATACTCCACAAGCTCCACCTCTTGTGGGGGTGTGAGCAATTGTTGTGCAATGGCCTTCTCTTCACGCGACACGCTTAAGCCCTGCTCTTGGCGTGACAAAGTTGAGTGCACAACACCATGTTTTTCAGCCAAGTGAGTATATGGAATGGGTTTGCCTGTATCTGCTGCACGTCTCTCTGTTACAGCTTCCTTGAGTGACATTGTGGCATTGAGATATTGGGGGTGCAAGGTGAGATGGTTGAGGTGTCGAAATGCGCGTTACGGCGCATGCGCGTTACGAGCGCACAGACAGTAGCGTTGCTGCAGTGTGAACGGTGGTAATCGATCTAGCCGCCTCGCTTTCGGCCTGTCGACCAATGACAGTGCCGTACCGCATCTCTCCCATTCCGCTCGACATTCTTCAGCTCGTACGTTCATCCTGCAGTTCCTGAAGCGAGATGTAGTCTCAGAAGCATTTCCCTGGTCCGGCTGATGATGCTTTCAGAATGTGCCCGGTCATACTCCTCTACCAGTGTGCCACTACTTATCAAGCAAATCGGTAATGCATCACTACATGTCTAAATGAGCTTTGCTCCAGTTTAGCTGTTGATCGACAAAGCGGTATCATGTCCACGGTCTTTGTTGTTCATTTGTGGATCCTAATGGATATGTCTCTTTCAAGGTGTTCTACATGAGGTCTGCTTCATCCACATGTTCCCCTCTCCGCGCTGCCAGGTATACTCTCCCACTCTCGTATGCACCAAGATACAACCCAGCGCCCACAAACGTCCATACAGCCCTCAACGCACCACCTCTCCATAGACCCTTGTACCCCTGCTCTTGCACGATTTCCTGCGTGATTTGCCATGTTCCTTTCTGGTTTTTTCTCGGCTTCTTCACGGACTCCCCAAGCGCATCTACCAACCCATTCTTGCCACTGCCATTCGCCTTCTCACTCTTCCCCGACGACTCAGACGAATAACCACCCTCAGCAGCGCTCAACATGATTCTCGTCTTGAGCACGTCCACCGGCGTCGTGATGACCGCCGCAATACTACCCGCCGTACCTGCACTAAACGCTGTAATCGTCCCACTCTCCACAATCGTACCAGTCGTAAGCCCTTTCTCATCCCGATACTCTCGAATGCCCTGCTTTAGACGCTCAAACATGGGGAACTGCATAGCAGTGAACGGCAGATTTCTGCCCGCTAAAGAAGCGTAGCCACGCCACAGGGCCAATGGATTCGAGCGGAATTTTTGTAATGTCTGAATCGTAGCGTTGGTGGAAGAGTGGTCTGAAGATACCATTTGGGCATTTTGCTTGATGACCTCAGCGGGCGTAAGGATGGCGCAGGACACCAGTTCGGCCAGGGAGGAGGCGGCTGCGTGTATGACGGGTGTTGGTAGGAAGCCATTGGGGTGTGAGCATGTGGAGTTGAGATTGGTGAAAAGTGATTTTGTGCGCTCGTAGGTGGTGAAGAATGCTCCTGCTGTTGAGTGTTAGCCTGCAATCCTGGATTGGCTGAAAACTTCCCGCAACCAGAAACTTCTTTGCTTTTTCTGTTGTCAAAGAAGGCGGATTTTCATACATGATGGTAATGTTGCAATGATCACACTGCCGATTCCCTGGTACATGCCCCGGAACAACGCGGGATTCGGCTTCCCCGTTGCCGAGTTTGTATAAAGTCGTGCATAGTCTGGCGATTGAAATCGTGTCTTGAGTGTATCGAGAGGGTATACAAGCAGATCAACTGTGAACGCCGCAATTGCGCCAGCCTAGGATTGTCAATTGAGTGCCAATTCATGTCTCAACTGCTTGATGTGGACCTACAATGAGTATATCGCTATTAGTGTTACCAGACATCTAGAAAACGAAAACGAAGATGAGATGTGGGGGTTCGATCAGATTATGCATGTGGTCGATCAACTTTTTGACATGAGCTGATTGCAAAGGAACGCGACGAATCAAATACGTCACCGATAAGCCTCCGATAGGGTAGCATGCCCACAGGTGAACAACACCTTCACAGCGAGATCGGCACTCTTTCGGTGATGAGAGTATCATCTAATCTGATGGAGATGCATAGAGAGGCGTCCAACGGCACATAGAGGCATCTCTGCTCGTTGAAGTTGATGCGTTGATGCTGCTGAAATGTGTGCCAAGATGAGAGAGGTTCAACCACGACCCTGTCTTCAAAGGTTCATTATGATAGTATGCCCGATTGAGACTACTGGGTATCTATGCTTTCCACTAGGGAAGCACTTTTCTCGCTGCGATCATTCGCTACCATCTAACAAACATTCCGAGCAAGGGCCCATCGCCCTGCAATATCGCTAACAAAAGGGTATCTACATCCCCGAATCTATGCCTGTGTCATGAACTCCTGTGAGAAGATGACAGGAATGCCAGGGAAATCGAATAATCCTCCCATATGAATCCAGATGCCCAATCCTAACGCCATTGAAAAGCACATTTCGTAAATCATATTTCATAGCAGTTGCCACCAGTAAGAGAGGCTGTCGAGTCGGTTTACAGTTTTGTGTCCTGCCTGTTGGAGTCACTCAGCCTCCGGTAAGGCGCTGGTAACGTTCCACTCGGACCCGGTCTGGAGCTAGGCCCTTGCGTCGTGCTGCGACCGGTGGTACCCGCACTTGTGCTTGCAGAGGGTCTGGATGTCGATGTTGACGCCGAGGTGGTTCGTTGGTGTATGGTCGCACTCATGAGCCAGTGCAGCTGCATGCGCATGTTGTTAATTGCAGCGTTTGTGTGCAGCATCTCGTCCTTGTTGCGCTGGCTTTCATTGATGATCATCATGTTGGTGCGGCCCTCGACTTCCGTTAGCGTGGTAGAAATGCGAGACACTTCCTCGCGTAGGTTCTCGTGCAATGTGAGGAGATGGTGGACTTGGGAGTCGAAAGGGGGCTCATTTGAACTGTTGTCGCTGCCATGAGCGCCATGTGGGAATGATGCTGGTGGCAGGCGAAAGTCGGCCGCGGCATCGTTTGGATCCAGGTGGTCGGCCACGGGAAATGATGCATCGTTTGCATTAGCCGGATACAGCATGTTGGTTATGTTGGCAAGGCCATCCTCCAGAATGCCGACCTTCCTCGCCAACGGCTCCATGCGTGCTTCGTGCCTCTCAAGGCGAGCTTGCTGGTCCCGGAAGTGCGGCGCCATTGTTGCCATAGCGCATGCCATCTCATGCTGTGTCACGTCTGCGCGCTCAGATCGGAACTTGCACCCGACGATGGTACCCTGGCAGGAAATGACATGTTTCGGACACACGTTGTTGATGTGGGTCTTGAGGTCGAGTCGAAGCAGAACGGCCTCACAAAGGGCGCACGAAGTCGTGCGATTGAGACACAAATATCGCTGGTGTTCCTGACAAATATTTAACAAGGGCTAGAAGCATCCAGTTATGCAACTCACTTCGAGATCTCTCTTCATCAGCGACGTGTGGCAGTCCTCGCAGCCCACCGTGTAGTGCAGACAGCCCTTGTGGAAATCCTTCTGGGTTGTGTGTAACCTGCAATCAGCTGCAGGGCATTCGATGGGCGTGTATTCGCAATATAGCATGACATGATCGTGTACGTTGACGCGATGGTCGACCCAGGTGCATCCCGTCCTGCTGTTTGGGCACTTGACTACCAGCTCGTCAAGCATCGTCTCGATGATCTTGGGCACGGGGCGTATATCGTTCTCGCCCTCGACATGGCGGCGACAGGTTGGACACGTCTTGCGGTTGTTGGACTGCGGCGCCCAGGCATGCTCGAGGCATTCACGGCAGAAGTAGTGCTCGCAGAGCAACTGGACGGGCCTGTCGAAGGGGGCGTGGCAGATCAGACACACGAGGTTGCTGTCGGGCCTGGACGCGTACTCGAGCGCGGACATTTCAGGGGGCACTTTGAGACATTTGCTCTTTCGACGCTTCGACGATGGTGAGTTGGATGCGCGCAGCGCCAAAGGCGAGGGACTGCTGGGAGGGCCACCGACCACACGCAATTCTGACGGCTCTGACAGCGCGTCTGCTTCGTTCGGCAGGCCCCCGTTGGTAGAGGCCCGCGAGTTGCGCCTGTCGTTGGGCGGCGGGATGGGCGACGGCGACGACATGACGGGTTGTGGAGAAGCAGTGCGGGGGCGGAGAGAGGAGGGCGTGATGGTGGCCGCTCAGAACAGTCGCAGCGACTGCAGAGCGCCGACGATGATTGCTATATGACCGGACGGGCCAGGAATGGAGGCATGCTTCCCAAACAGAAAGGGAGCATGTGGAGCATCTGTGTTGCGCCTGCGTTGTACAGAGCAGAGACATGGACACAGCAGTCCATCGGCGCGGTGGTCCAGGGCCAAGGTACGTGATTGGGCCTGTCGTCAGCAGGGTGATCGCCGGCAACCACCAGACACCAGCTCCATTCCATTTGCGCCTGTGTCCGTGCACAGATGGTATGGGTGGTGGCATAGATCGCAGGTCCATTCTACGCATCCAATAGCGCTGCCAGTGTCATCCGTTCCTGCAGAGCCACCACGCGCACGCTGCTCCCCGGCATCCCTCGCCAACATCGCCAACCTCGCCAACCTCACCTCCACAGTGTCTCGGGAAGCATCTATACTACCACATACTACACACCACCATGTCGACCAACCCACCACAGCTGTTTCTGCTCGCCGATCACATCAAGCTCTCGCTGCTGGAACGCCAACGCGCCATCTCTCTCAACCTGCCCTCCCACAGCCAAGACAGTCAGATTTCGCGGTCACTGGACCAACTGCGCTCGGGCATCGAGTCCTTGGAATCGCAGGTCGAAGACACATCAGACGAGTGTGTATTATGATACACTCGTTTTGAAAACCCATGCTGATATCACCCAGATCCATAACATCGCAGCTCCCACGCCTGCGCACCCAACTCAACGAACTCTCCTCCCAGTTCTCCTCCTCCACATCCACCACTTCTCCCACCCTCACACAACCAAACGACCCTTCGCTCTCAGCCGACTTCGCCGCAGCAAAGTCCAACCCACGTCAGGCCTCCAAGAGCGTCCGCTTCACCGACAATGACGACACAGGCGCCGACCCCAACCGCTCTGCCCTCTTCAACCAGCCATATCGTGACGACCCGTCCCACGACCCGGAAGCACCGCCAGACCAATCACATCTGGACAACCAGCAGATTCACGAGTACCACAGCCAAGTACTGCGGGAACAGGATGACCAGCTCGACACCCTGAGCGCGTCGATTGGGCGGCAGAGGGAACTAAGTATGCAGATTGGGGACGAGCTGGATGGGCAGGTGATGTTGCTGGATGAGGTCGAGGAGGGTGTGGATCGCCATGACGCACAGTTTCGACGGGCGAGGGGGCGGCTGGACCGCTTCAGTAGGAAGGCGCGCGAGAACTGGAGTCTGACAGTTATTGTGGTGTTGATCATCATACTCGTTCTGCTGATTATCATCACCAAGTAAAGATGTGAACGTGGGAACGATAGATTTGAAATGTATATGGCGTTCAGGCGCGGAGAGGGATACCTCCGCGTTCTTCAGTTGCAAAATATCGTTGCCACTACTAGGATACACTACGATACTACAGATCAGCAGTCTCAGCCATCACTGTGTCCTGTCAGTCGCAAAAGCGATCTCACCATAATAAGAAGATCATAGGTCCCAGAACGCCATTCTATGCAATGGCGATGGTAGGTAGAGGATAGGCCGTCGCTAAAAGGAACCAACACTAAGAGTGCTCGCCTCAAAGAGGCTGCACGAGCAGGAAGGGTATCTCTGTATGGATATGCAAATAAAACGCTCTTCATCAATAGAGTCGGAAAGGTGGCGGATGGGTGGGATGTGAGGTAGGGCCGGAGGGTATCCTGGCATCCTCGAGATATAACTCTCTCAGTGACCAGTGTGCTGAGACCGTGCGGCTGACCAACGTTGAATCCAAGATCGTGTGGTGGGCGTTGTGGTCGTATCCCTCAAGGCAAGTCTAACGCCTTCTTCGACTTGTCGTAAACCACGTATGTGATGGACACGGCTGGGACAACCTTGAGCAAGTTAGGGGTCAGGCCTCTAAACAGACCGCGAACGCCCTCGCCCTGTATCGTCTGCCGGGTAACGTCCATGATTCCGGTGTACGTCTTGGGGTGCATGACGGTCCCCTGACTCTGCAATCGAGTCCGCAGCACGTTGAGCGGGTATACGGCACTGGCTCCAAATGCACCGGAGAAGCCGCCAATGGCCGCAGTCATGAAGCCTCCTGGTTCGGCATCTGATTCGTGGCATCCGAGCCTCTTTGCGTTGCGCCTCGCGACGTAACGTTTGAGATACTCAAAGGTACCGAGGTCGAGCGCGGCGTAGGGGAAGATTCCAAAAAGGCCCATAGGTAATCCGCGGTAACAGGCAACAATGCCCCCGCTCTGCCACATCTTCTTGGCCGTGGCCCAAATAAGGCGATTCCCATGAAGACCGCCAGCGACTGTTTCACATTGCATCCGGCTGTTATCGATGAGGATGTGCGCAATTGAACAGGACTCGATGCAGACTTACAATTTGAGGGTGTCGATGGGATAAATGGCGAATTGCGAAACCATACCCGCAACTCCACCAGCAACGAACTTGGACCAGGAGTGGATACTTCCTGGGTCGTTATGGCCTTCGAGTTTGGCAAAGGCGCGCTTTGTAGCCTGCGAAGGTTAGGTTGTCATTCCACAATCCTATCAAGATACTTGCCTCGTATGCACCAAACTTGATGGCTGACTCTGGCATCACCTTGATGACGTTCAAGCCGTTTCCTGACATTTTCAGCGACGCTGCATGCTCTTTGACGGCCAACACTCACCAGCATAAAGACTACGCATGCCGCCGGCCTGCCATAGCTCCTTCATGGCCACGGCAAGCGGCTCCCATGTGCGTATGGCGCTCTTCAAGATGTTGCCAGACTTCGCTGCAGCCACCACTTCTTGTTTTGCGCCGGTTTGCGCGATAAGATATACTTTCAATCGGTCGAGGGGAGCGGTCGATGTGCGAGATACAATGCCTGCAATGCCTCCCGCCACGAAGTAGCCTGGATTGGGAACACAAGCAATCAGCATGGTTCCGAAGCTCATGATTAGCCCCCCTTGCGACTCGATAATGGGAGAATCAATCTCCCCATCGTCGAAACGTGGCGGGAGTTCTTGCGAGATTGCGGAATTTGGAGTGGAGGCCATTTCTAATGGTACGACGTGATCCGATGTAAAACCATATGGCGGCGTCTTTGCGACTAGAAACAGGGAACCAAGAAAGAACTGAAGAAAACGCTTTGAAGTACCTAATCCTTGTATGGTGTCGTTGCTCACGAGGACGTCGCCCTCGGCGTTGACTTTTAGTGTTGCGTTGAAATATGACATGACCGCTTGGAGATTCGGCGCATTGACTGGTATGAATAGAAGGAAGTCGCTGTTCGAAGTCAGCAAGGACGGAGTTTTGGGGCATGGGCTTTCATACCGCCATTCCTCAAAGCTAATGTGCCCGTCTCCGTTGGTATCCACCTCGGAGAAGAAGTTATCGAGCTTGCTGTTCGGGACCGCAAGGCCAGCACGTCGCAGTGCATTGCGAAGTTCGTCTTTCGAGAGCTTGCCGTCGCCGTTGTTATCGATGCCGCGGAAGAGCGCAAGGAGCTCTTTTTCAGTTTCTTCGACAAAGGTCCGGAACTCTGTTCGGGAATTGTGAGCAATGCCCATGCATCTTTCGAGAGTACAACACACCCTTATACGTGATTCGGCCGTTGCCGTCCGCGTCGACGGCTTTCATGACCTCGTTAAGGAGCCCATCCGCATTCTTAAGAGCTGCAACACCCCTGTCAGCAAAGCTCCTGTCTCATAGACAATATATCTTACGGTGATCAAGCTTTCGCAGACCCTTCTTCAGACCTACAAGGTCCAGCTGCCCCTGCTTGCGCATGTCGAGGGTTGCCCATAGCTCGTCCACCTTCGCGTCGGTGACGCTTGCGGTCTTTGTGTCGTCCATGGTGGTCCTGCTATCTTCGGTCTATCATGGCTTCGGCGCGGCGCACGAGTACGGCTCTCGACAGTGAGTGAGGGGAATGGCTGAAAGAATGGCAGCGGATGAGGGAGCGGGTTCATAGGATTCGCGCGTGGGGTATGAAGTCAGAGGGCTGAACCGAGAAAAGCCTAGCGGTGCAGGAAAGGGAAAGCATGCAGCTCGCCGATTCGGCGGCCGCTCATTGGTTGCGGGCGGCTGTTGTTTCCGCGCCCTCACCGGCTACCGTCGCAGATCAACGACATATCGACTCGAGCAAACATCAAACTTCAGATTGGATACATTGCTGAAGCTGCAGCAGTACAGAGCTTGAGAGTAGCACCGCCTTCGAGTCTTCACAGCTCTGTCCAATATCAACTTCAGCAATCAGGCGTCAACATGCGTTGAAGCATGTGCAGGCTGGCTTCAAGTACTCTGGGAGCAGTCGAGGTTTCTGAATGTGGATCCAGCTGTGCACTTGAGAAAACCTCTGGTCCTCACTGAACCATCGAGCCTATTGCTTCCATGATCCCATTGTCAACCCCTTCGAATATCGCCAGAGAAGTCCGGCAGTCTCGCTCTTAGTTCGAGGTCAAACCGCGTCTCATACCACACCACTGCAATCGGAGGAAAGCCAATCTGCTTATTAAGTCTATCGTTCAAACAGCATCATGGCCTCGAACTACTGGGAATCGACGCAGCGGAGATTCTGGACGTTCACCAAGCAGCAGTTGGTGCTGGAAAGAAGGAAGATAGAAGAGGCGGAACGAAACCTGGTCAGCCTATACCCCTTGCCAGACAGACGGCATCTGAGTATCTACTTCTATCACCGTAAGCCGGGCCATCTACTTTCGTGAAGGGTACGACTGACCGAGGCAGAACTATCGAAGATGGCTCGGCCACTAGGCATCCGACAACAAGCTCTGGCATCAGCTCAAGTCTACGTGCGACGCTTCTACGCCAAAGTTGAGATCCGGCGGACAAATCCGGCTCTTGTTCTGGCAACCGCCCTGTACCTGGCCTGCAAGATGGAAGAATGTCCACAGCACATTAGGATGGTGCTGGCAGAGGCTCGACACTGCTGGGGTACGTCTATCTATCTCCAACACCGCACCACACTGACCACTGAGCAGACACATCTTTCAACGACATCTCCAAAATTGGTGAATGCGAGTTCAGCCTGATCTCAGAGATGAACTCACAGCTAATCCTGCACCACCCATACCGCAGTCTCAACGAATTACAGACGCAGTTCCAGCTAACTCAAGAAGAAAATGCACTCGCCTGGTCCATCATCAACGACCACTATCTCACCGACTTACCTTTGCTTCACGCACCACACGTCATCGCCATCACAGCCATGTTCCTCGCCGTCGTGCTAAAGCCAACGCAAGGCGGTCTGCAGATGAGCGCGGCAGGGACAGCAAGCGCACTCCAAGCATTAGGTAACGCAAGAGGCGTAGGTGGAGCTGGTGCGCAGAGCCGGGTGCAGAAACTAGTGGACTGGTTGGCGGAGAGTAACGTGGACATAGAGGCGGTGGTGGAGACAACACAGGAGCTGATCAGCCTGTACGAGGTCTGGGAGAGCTACACGGACAAGACGTGTAAAGACCAGATCGCGAAGTTCGTCAAGGCGAGAGGGCTGGACAAGTGATGGTGCTTAAAGCCTTCATGAAGTTCGATTACGAACAGTGAAATGCTACAACATAGTCGGACATGGATGGGATATTTATTGTAAGGTTGAAGACGCCAAATCACTCAATGAGCTGCAGTATGGTAACAGGCATCATCTGTCCTGTCGAATAGACGGAAAACAAAGCAACAATATCAAACGTCACAAATCACCGCATACCCCGTCGTACATCAAACGGAAATCTTGATGTCGGGCGCATGCATCAAAGTGCTTACGACGGTAGTCAGCACCCTACACAGCTTAAGCAGCCTCAAAGGACACCCTGAAGGCTGGTAGCAAACGACCTGACGTGGTTCGAACACAAACATGTTGATCATACCAGAAGACGTCGCCGATGTCCTGGGTGGGGGAACACTAAAATGAGGGTGTTTCGAGCATGGGGAAATCAATGCGTTGCTATTTGGCCGGTTCCAGGAGTGTTGGCGCCAATCGAACGGGACCGCCATTTTGAGGTGATCAAGTGAGCTTTGACAGCACAGCAACCAGCACAACAAACACTGGAATGTTTATTGTTATGATGCGGATTCGGAGCAAGGCTGGCAAATTGGCCTCTGCGGGCGGTAGATTGCCCATCAAAGGAGCTTGCACTCGGCGTGAACGAGCAGCCCATGCGGGGAGCCAGCACCAGTGCTGCGCAGCTATTTTAGTGCTCAGGATCAGGGGCTGTGATTAGTTGCTGGGGGCACTCCGAGGGTTTCGCACGTCACATAGAAGCTGGTCGAGGCGTCCATGGATCACTGAGGGGTGCAAGATGTCAGACATGGCCAGCGTCCGGACGGCTTCGCGCGATCGCTGGGTGAACATGTGTGGTTGCGCGATGACAGTCGCTGCTTCTGCATCGCCATGTAACACTTTCCACACCACTTCCATGGTCGACACCGTTGATGGCGAGCGCTGGCTGCATTCCAGAACAATCGCAGGCGGCTACGGAGGGGAATGATTTGCACCCATCCCAAGGACGAGTCGGCTGTACCAGCGAATCCCAGAAACCCCTCAACCACGCTGTTTGGGCGCAGTCCGCCGCTTTTAGCGCTCCAAGAGGCGTCGAGTTCTCTCCTCCAAAACAGCTCGGCCTCGATGCTGCGACTGCCCTTGCCGACAAGGAACCGACAGCGCATTGATCCGGATCACAAGGCTGCTGTCCAGTGGGGTGGTCGCAGAATGCATTCCCCTGGATGCAGACTCGAGCGCTGGGCGGCCGCCGGGCGGAGCGGTCAGGGCCTGGTGTGGTCATTTGCTAGGCTTTGGCGAGGCTGTGAGCTGGCTGGCAACTTGTAGCGTGCAGCAGCGCATAAGCGCGGTTTCGCCTGTGTCGACTGCGTGGGCGATTGTCCGTCGACTTCCATCCACACTACTCGATGGTAGATCGTAAGGTACAGGCGCTCAGAAGGTTGCCACGGCCATTGCTAAATTCCATTGTGCAACAGACGAACCACGGGTACGATGCATGCGCAACGAAGCCTTTCACGGCTCCTGCAAGTTGGCACAGTGGTCGACGAGACATCCTGACCAAAACGCCAGCGAGCGAAAGAGGAATGGCGCGCTCGAGGTGGCGAAGTGCGCGCCCAATCACAACACCGTACCTAAACAAGGGCCCCACTCCTTCGCTAGCCACACGGCCCTCGCCCGCTGACTTGTGCGTGCCTTTCAAATCGTCCCAACCCTTCCCTCCTGCTCCTCGCTCTCGCCTGCACTCAAGCGCTTCCACATTCAAGACATCTACTCAGCCTCGCATCGCACCCTCTAGTTAATACTCTCGCCTCTCGCACTCTCGACCGCTATCTCTGACGCTCTCACGCGATACGTTGCACACCACCCGACGCTCCGTCCCCCTTGCTTTGTTGTGATCCCTCACTCCACCGCCCTTTCGCGCAGCCCCCCACCACCGACTTTCATCCGGTCTGCCATCAGCACCATCCGCAACCATGTCGCAGTTCTTCAACTACGGTGCGCAGCACCACACCCAGCACCTCAACGCTCACCAGCACAACAACAACCACCACGGCGGCCGATCGCGGCGGGCACCCCGGATCTCGGCCCAGCACCAGCAGAAGCAGTTCCGCCAGGTCCGCACGCCCAAGGAGTTCAACGTCGAGCCCCCGACATCCATCGCATTCAAGCGTGACTTTGAGGCCGCCCGCTCATTCGACATTGAGGACGACGAGATGTTCTGCCCGTTCCACCTGCTCACTGAGGATGATGTAAGTCATTCGGCCCGTGACATTTGCCACCCGGTCATGTCATAGCCATCTGCCACAACAGGCACTGACACGACGCACAGCTCCAGTCTATTCACTCCTCCGGATCTGACCGCTCGTCGCTGTCAAGCGGCTCGCCTGAGCAATCGCCGCTCCAGCACCAATTGCAGCCTACCCCCTCCTTTGTCCTGTCGACGGCACCCAACCCATACACGCCGTCCAACTTCCAGCAGAACAATGCTTCGCAGACTAAGCTGCACCAGCCACTAGCTCAGCGCACCCGCAATGCCATCCCTATCGTCGACCCCTCGACACGAGCTGTTGCCAGCCCACCGCCATCTGTCTCCCCCAACCGACAGATGCAGCAGCAGTTCATGTCGCAGCGACGCTGGTAAGCTTCGCAGGCACGAGGCTCAGCGACTGTCCGGTTTGACTGCGGCGTCTTCCGTTGCATGCTAGTGGCTGCCAGGATCTAATTCTTCTTCTTGATATCCTCCGGAGGATCCACGTCTATACAACGACTCTCCACCTGTACAAATCTACGATATCTTCTTCGACATCTTGGATATACCACTCGCACCTGCGACGGCGTTGCACTTGCGAACACATCATTCTCGAATAGACCGCTTGAGCTCATGTCTCTAAGCGATAACGCATTACGGCGGTTTGCACAACTCGGTGTTTTTGGTCGCATTGGGAGTTATCATCAGCGTTCTAAAGACTTGAAAAATCTTTGGCTACAGATTCGGTGTTCTGTAGCGTTGCTGTCTTATCTTGTTGCCCGGCTTGTCTTCCCAGACAGCCATTACAAAGGGTAGATTTCATTTGTCCGGTCGGTTCTCGGTTTCAGCGGTCGGTATATACCAATTGGCGCGAATTTCGAAGCGGCGGTGTCAAAGCGTGTTGGGCTCATCGGTTCTGGGTGCATATCGTCTGGGTGTCTCATCAATCATTGTACGACGCTGGGATGGTTCTACGCAGTCACATGGCGCGGCGGGTCTGATTTTCTTTTTCCTTATTTCGTTGTATGAGGCTTTACATACGACCCCGTGGGTGGATGCTGGGGCTGATCTTCTTGGATGTTTTGGTCTCATCTTTTGGATTTCCTTCAGGATGCTGATTTCCTCATACTTGACACGCCTCTATCGAGGGCAGTGAAATATCTTAGGATACGCAATCGCAACTTACTCCTCTTCAATTGTAAATCCACCGAATCATCGTTATGAACATGCACTTGCCAACGGCAGCGGGGTATCCGAAGCTCAGCTCAACGCTCGCTTTCACCGGTGCAGCTGATAGCAATCGGCAACTTCAGGAAGGTCTGGCGATCCATGAGATCTGGACAGCTTCATGGGTCGTACCCGGCTCATGTGAGCGCGGGGGGTACGGGTACACGCAGCTCAGAAGCTTCTCAGACCATCACTTTTCTCAATGGACGTCAGATCGGCATTTCAAACACAGGAACAAAGGCAAGAAGCACGTTGAGTCCCACGCGGGGTGCCCGTTGCGAGCATGCAGGAACACAGTAGCGCCCACCCACCCACAATTGCGTGCCATGGGGACTTGTGGGCTCCTCAGTCCCTGATTCTGCCGATGAAGCGAGTCAACAATGCCCTCGCCTGAGGATCCAGGCACCGTCTTATGCAACACGAACGTAGGCCAATGCTTTGAAATTGGTGTTGCGCATTGGACGTTCGCGGCCAGACGCATTATTCGTAATGGTGATAGCTCCGAGTCGCAGGGCGTGACGTCATCAAATTCTTCCTTAGCTTGTTGCCGAGGATGGGTTTCTTCAGCTTGGAAGAGCTTGGGCTGTCCTTTCCTTCGCGAATTATCACTACAGCCAAGCCAGCCTTCAGCAACTTCTTCAATTCCATCAGCACTATCAATCGAGACAGTGCTCGGATTATCATAATCTACTACCCCAGCTAGAATCTCCAACGACGTCTCTCCCCCACCACAACACACAAGATGTACTCTGTACGCTCCATCGCCGCCCGCCGTGCGCCTTTCGTCTCCGTCGGCACTGTCCAGCGCGCTGCTTTCTCGCAGTCGATAGCTCGCAGTGCGGGCAAGGAGACCAAGCTTCGTACGTGAATTCATGTCGACATGACGATGACGCCTCCGCGGCCGAATGACTAACACAGTGATCAGACACCGAAGGTCGTGCAGATGAGGCCGAGGAGCTCAAGCAGAAGCAGCTGAAGAATCAGAAGGAGGGCAAGGGCGAGTGGGAAGAGGGTCTTGCTAGCGACAGCGAGAGTATTGTACGTGTTCTGCATAACGAAGTCCCGTAGCCGGACGTCACAGCTTTGGAATTCATACTAACAACCGTGCAGGTCAAGGCTGACAGGAGCGAAACCAACACCTCGGCCAAGGACAATATCAAGAAACTCCAGGAGGAAACTGCTAAGGTCGCCAGCAAGAAATAGAAGCCCCGCTTACGAGCCACGCTGCCACCAGGTGCAACATTGGGCACGTTCGAACAACGCGGAGGAGATAGCCTAACGAAGAGGACTATACTACTAGATATATATGGTCAGCTCTGGCGGAGCTAAAATGAGGAAATGACTGTCGCATCTCCTTGTATCAACGATTTCAAACGAACATCTCCCGGACTCGACGCACTTTAAGCTCCTGACACTTCTCTTGATAGGTGCTCTGTCGCACAACCAATATTGTAGTTCGCTAACTCTAGGCACTTCTTCTAGCAATTGTCTCCCCTCCTGCTCGCTTGTGCCCCTGTCGGCGACTTGCATGAGCGACCAGGCAACACACTTGGTAACCTAAATCAGATGTAAAAGGACTTAGCTCCCTTGCCACTTTGTTCTCCCGCCATCACCCAAGTATCGATCACGACCATGTCTGCAGAAGGCTCGCACCCAGTACCACGGCCCTGTTACCCTTCTCTATTTCATAGCACAGAGACGATCACGACGGTCCAATTGAGCGACCAAACACCTGTAGTACCCTAAATCGACTGTAAATCTACGGAAGGAATCATCCGCAGTACTCAAAAAGGATTGGAAGGGTGTTGGACGGTACGCGGGTACGATACCATCTCTGCGGAGTGCTCATACACGCTCCAACCCTGCTTAGAGCCAACCAAACTTTTCATCGACCATCGCGAGCGCGTTGACGATCAAGCTGTGCGACGACACATTCATTTCACAGTTCTGGTCCCAAGAGCAGAAATCGTCGGCTCCAAACATTTAGGACTATATCACCTTGGGCGAAAGAACGAAGGACAAGCATGGCTGCACCTTCAGGCAGGGGTCCTATCACCTCGTATTGATAACAGGCCTCACCACTCATCACTATTGAACCCTCCCCAGCAGGCCTGCCACACGATAATCAGTACAGCCGCCTCAGCAAAGACTAGATACCTCTTAGAGAGCATGCATCTAAGAGACAGACCTCAGCCTTCAAAACGCAGAGCATACTATCAATATATCCACATCCTCGTGAAAATATATGCGGGCATTAAGACAGGCGACAGTGAGGTCTCTCAATGGGTCAATATAGCAGAGAGATGCTCGAATCCCGTCACCATATGTGGAAAAGTTGGCGGGAGGATGGATTTTTCATCCGACCCAGATCGCCGAAAACCACGAGTTGCGGTACAGTCACAGGCTCGGATCAACGGCACGTAGCGTCTTTGGAGGGTTCATATACAATTCGTAGTGCACACAAGCCATCTTGTGCCTATTAGATTATTACAGTTTATCTACTAAGAATTGCCTTGCACTGCTTTTAGTGACGCGTGGATAGCGTGCAGAATTCTCCATCGAGCCGTCCAAACCCCCAGAATCCTTCCAAGGTATATAACGCCAATTGTGCGTATGAAGCAATCGCGCAAGACCAAAGTGCCTCCTAGATCGCCGTATCATTACACCGTCCATCCAGGTCCTGCCCGGATGTATATCCATTATCCCAACCATACATATTTACACTTTACTTCCACTTCCCCTTCGGACTGCTCGCCCTAGGACTCATAGGAAACCAACGCACCTCATTTCGCATCTTGGTCGCGAACACCAAATACGCCTCCAACGCTTCCTCCTTTGTCGCAAACGTCTTGTCCTTGTTCATCCACATCTTCAAATACTTGTCCGCCCCCGTGTCTTTGAGTGCTGCGTACCACTTTCCTGACGACCGCTGCTTGAGCACGATTGCGAGACGTCGCCCGCCGAGTCCGGTTACACCTGAGACTTGCTTGAGACAAGCGGACTTGAGGGAGTAGAGCGGGTCGTTGTCGTCTTCGATGGGTGAGTCGACGCGTTTCGGAGGTGATTTGGAGCGCTTGGTTTTCGAGGGTGTGGAGGAGGTTTTAGAAGACGTAGACTTTGCTGAGGGCGTAGCTTTGGTTGGCGACGTGATTTTGGGTGTGGATGGGGCCTTGGGTTCGGATGCGACTTTGCTTGACGATGTCGACTTTGGGGATCCAATCTTGGGAGATGCTGGCTTCAAGGACGGTTCCTTGGTCACTTTTGATTTGGAAGACGACTTCTTTGGTGTGGATACTTCAGGGGGCGATGTAGCCTTCGAGGATGTTGTCTTTGGAACCGCTGCTGGTGGAGGTGCGGTTTTTGATTGTTTCGTCTGAGAGGGCGAGGCGGCAGCTTTTGCAGGAGCTTCCTTCGTAGCTGTCTTCTTCGTTGTCGCAACGGTCGCAGGCTTAGGTTCGGGCACAAGATCGATCAGAGACGTAACTTGAGCGTTCGTTGTCGATGCTGTGAACTGCCCGTTCGCGATCTGGCGCGCGCGCTCCTTCACACTGAGAAACATCTTGACCGAGCAGTAGAGTACACGTACAGCAGAACGACACGGGGGATGTGCACGCTTTCTATGATCAACACGACTCGTTCACTACGCTTTGGCCACAGTGTGCACAAGTGTGCACCCCGGGGCTGCTAATGAATGGCCATCTTACCTAGAGTCAGGAGGAAGGTGGCAAACGGAACGTAATTACCGCCTAGGCACCAGGAAAAGGGGCGAAACTGTACAACATGGAGAGCACCAAGAATAGTTGATGATAAGGTGTAACAACCGTCAGCAAGACACCTCCATGTTCTTTGAACAATGCTCGATGCGCATGTCTTGCATGATCGTGCATGCAGGAAGAACAGGTGGGCGGATGCTGCGCTGCTTTCCCATTGGCCAGGAAACCTTAAGCTGACCGGGGTCCTTTTCGGATTCTCACTCTAACCATCAACACCAGTTTGAAGCCGAGTTTTGCCAACAATAGAGTTTTATTCGCCACTGAGGATACACAGATTGAAGCGCATTGTTAGTAGTAGCTGCTGCTACTGCGCTCTACTGCTGCTTTCGTTGCTTCTTTTGTATGAGATTTGTTAGTATTCTCAGCGGCTTGGGCAGCAGCCTGAGAAATAGCAGCTTTGATAACTTAAATGTTGCTGAAGCGCTTATTTTGATCAACTCTGACTCGCTTTCTTGACTGAGTATTCTGGAGCCAACTGAGTTGATACTGTAGTCGCTTGTTTTCAGCTTCAAGCTGAGCTGCCCCAGTATTTGCTCTTGTAATAGCCTTACCTGCCTTGCCAAGCACTAATCCCGGCCGAAAAGTACCCCGGCCAGCTTAGCGCAAAGGCCTGGTCGACTGAGCCCACCAGTTCGCACATCTTCCTCCACATCCACGTTCTATCTGTGCATGAGCTTGGATCATTGTCACGTTCGATCCAAGCGTCTCGACATCCAAGAAGACAGAGCGCAGATCTGAACAGCAGGAACAATGTGGTTGTACAAACAAAACCTTGCTACTTGCGATTAGTCAACGCTGATTGCTTGACAGGTTCTTCCTGACCGACAGCTCCAACGTGAATTTGCCCTGGTATACTGTTTGCCCATCAACATCGCAAAGTCGAGCCCGTTATCGTGTCTTGACAGATTTCGTCTCTTCCTTTTCCGCAGGGATCCACGGGTCGATGCAGACTTCGCTGATCTTGTACGGGTCCACCGGGTGGCTACTGCAAATCAACAATTTACCAGAAAACTGAGTGTCGACATAGCCATAGTCCCGCATTTGGCTTGTCAATCCATGGCTGAACTCTTCACTGACGAGAGTCTACCGCTAGGCCAAGGCTTCTTGGATGCCACCGGCTTGTTGACCTTCGTGCTTCTACAGAGCGACGCAAATGACTTGTAGGCAGAGACATCGCCACCAAAGGCCACTAAGTTGAATGTCTTGCCAACATTGCCAACTTGCCCAAGTCCCGGGCCATCCTGTACGGTTATTCTGTCATCTTTGTCACTCAAGGTCGCCCTTTCGCCGAGTGAGCTGTCATACACGACAGTGTGGCCTTGAATAAAAACGGAAACGGTGCGAGATAGGTGCATCCGCAATTCAGTCTGATCTCTCACGCGATCTCTGCAGTGCTCTTCGTTGCAAGCCGGCAATCGAAACCATACAGGTCGGACATCATATAGTTGAAGGAATGGTTATACACCTTGACATTGTCTGTCTGAAGGTGTTCCCAGAACGTGCCGCTTACACGCCGATCTTCCCATCCTGCCAGTTTTGCGTTTGGATCGCTGACATGCCAATTTGGTCGAAGCTGGCGGAGGAGCTCTCGTGTGTACTCCACAACGTCCCCGCTGGGATCTATAAGACTTCCCAGGATGGTCGCACACTGGATGGATGGATGGATGGATGGATGTGTTACGATTAAGGGGCAACTCGCAAAACAACACTTAACGAACAGGACTACGCAACAATACGAGAGGGGCCGAGGTTGATTGATTGATTGATTGATTGGTTCAACGTCCTATCTGAGTCTAAGACTATGGAAGACAAGAGAAGCAGTAGCTCCTCTGGTAATGCAAAGATTTAGTTACAGGAGAGTGAGGTCAATGGAGGTACAAGGGATGGTGAGGGCTCAGGCCCAGAGCAACAAGCTAAATGCAATGAAGCAAAGCAAAATCAAGCAAATAAAAAAAGCTTACCACACTCCATTGGTGTTGTGGCATTACTATGTCAGGTCTTTTGTCTCATGCTGGGTTCGATTGATTGATTGATTGATTGATTGGTTTAACGTCCTATCTGAGTCTAAGACTATGGAAGACGAGAGGGCATAGCTCCTCTGGTAATGCAAAGAT